GCAGCAGCCTGCCTTCGGGACGTCCGGAGGAGATCTGTGGAGTCTGGGCGCCATCTCGGTGGCCTCCTGAGTCAAGAGAGTGGCTTTTCGGAAGCAGGATGGAGGACACCAAAGCTGCTCCCGCCCCAAGGGTGGTGCTTAGAGCGACCGCCGCCGCCGCTGCCACCCTCCAGCACCCCCGCTGCCGCCTCCTTCTCCCCACCTCCCCACGGCAGGCTCAGCCTGCCTGCACACTCTAATCCAGGGGCTGCCCCGGACTCTGTTTCTCTCTCACTTCCTGTGGGTCTGTCTGTCTGTCTGTCTGTCTGTCTGTCTGCCGCTCCCCGTGCCGTTTGTCTGTCTCTTCTCTTTGCTGGATTCTGACCTCTGCTTCCCTCACCTGCTGCTAAGCCCAGGGAGCGCGACGTGATCCGGAACTTGCGGCTGGTGAGTGGTCCTGCCCAGGCTCTGCATGGCACCCCTGCTGTGCTCACAGCCTCCTGCCGGAGAGGAGGGCAACCAGATGCCCCTCGCTTGTGTAGAAGCCACGTCCTACCCGCGCTCTCCATAAGCTTTGCTTAACCCGTGGCTGCCCAGGCTAAGAGGAGGGCTGGGTCCCACGGAGCGGGCCCTTTGGCAGCGTGACTCTCCCCGTGCCCCTGAGCCTTGGGCACTGCAGAGAGGATCCGAGGGTGGCGGGCCTGGCAGGCAGGCGGGAAGCATCCTGGGTGGCCGGGTCCTCGCAACCCCTCCTCTTCTGGATGGGATCAGGTACTGCAGGCCGTGCTGAGGGTGGCTTTGCGAGCGTCACTTGCAGCGGCCGAGCTTAAGGAAGCCTCGGGGTGATGCTTCGGCTGGGCCCGCGATGGCCGGGTGGGCGGGGGCAGAAGCTGGGCGCTGGCCTTACTCCAGCTGCCGAAGACCTTTCCTCCTGCGTGTCGTGTTCTGGCTCCCATCCGTCAGGCGGGGTCTTTTTCTGCTGCTTGTCCCGAGCCTTCCCTGAGGAGGCCCGTTTCCGCAAGGGTGGCGGGGAGGGCCTGCCCCCGGCTCCCCCAGGGCCTTACCCCAGCTTCCTCTGCCTGCAGCCTCGGGAGAAGGGCCGGATGCGCTTCCACAAGCTGCAAAATGTCCAGATTGCCTTGGACTACCTGAAGCACCGGCAGGTGAGTGTGCAGGCGAGGGGCGTGGAAAGGAGGGGGGCAAAGGCCGGGGGCAACAGTAACCTAACCGCAGGGCTGCCCCACAGGTGAAACTGGTCAACATCCGGAACGATGACATTGCCGACGGCAACCCCAAGCTCACGCTGGGCCTCATCTGGACCATCATCCTCCACTTCCAGGTGAGGCGGGCGCGCCAGCTCCGCCAGCCTTCCCTGCTCTTCTCTGCTCTGCTCTGCTCTGGCGGGCACGGCCTCTCTTCTGTCCCCTCCCTAGCCTGTGGGGCAGAGTCTTGTAGGAGGGGGCTGCATCCCCCCCCGCTTCCTCTCTT